GTAAACTTGATCAACATCTGATTTCTCCTTATGAGATCAATAAAGGTCAAGCAAAAAGGTGGTGGGAATAAAGAAGTTCATCAACTAGGGAAACTGTCGAGATGTAATGACCCAAATTCCCACAACTAGCATAGAAAGAAATGTGTAATGACCAGTAAGGAAGGTTTAAATTTTGAGTTTTGAAGTGAAAATTAAGGAGTCAAGTTACCTGTAACGTTCCATTGCAATTGATGTCTTCTTTTCATCGTCATCTGAAAAAGGATAAAAAGAACTATTTAAGCAACCCATTTACAGCCATTTCCCGTATTTTGTGAGCATGTACGTTTATAACCCGTCTTGTAACCTCAGGAAACTGATACATGGCCAGAAGTTCTTAATGTAACCCAAATACTTTGACTTGGTGAACGAGGTATAATTTGCATGTACTGACAACTGACAATTGGCCGTCGTTGACTTTTTCAGTAACATATCTTGTTTAGCGCCGACTAACTAGGACAAGAAAATTAAATTAATTTTACAACCTACAACATTACGTTCGAACACAGTTTTTACCTTGGGAAGGATTCAAAAGCCATTTGCTGCGTGACATCTTGGTTTCTCCAAAGCACGTGCTCTCAGAGTTTGGTTGAAGCAAAGTTCCTGTGTCTTGTTTTTGGGTTTCCTCACAGCTCTGAACGTATAGACAATCTTAAACTGAGGCTTGGTACTGTTTTTGAAGCAATAGGCGAAGCCAAAGGTGGATTTCTACAACTTTAAGTTTCAACTTGGCTGGTTAACCTACGAACAAATTGCACGCGAGAGGAAAATTCATCACAAGCATAATTTGCAATTTAAATTTTGTGAAGTTTGTAATCACGCGCCGAGTAGAATGCGCTTATCTGATTAGCTCGTCTTCTTATGTTTCTTATTGAAAGTGAGCGCGGGAAATTCAAATTGTCCTCAATCTTGGAAATGATATTTGGTTTTGAGCTTTGAAACGTTTCCACAAAACTTTACAAAGTTAACTGTGATTTGTTTTGGCAAAAGTTAAACCTCTTTAAAGCACACGGAAAGGGAGGTTATTAGCTTTCAAAGATATTTTGGTGGGTGGGGTGGGTAGGGCTCGAGAAAGAGGGAGCTTCTAGAGGGAAGGACGAGCTTGCTTTGATTGTTGAATCAGCCAGCACATCTGAAATTAAAGAGGACATCATATCCCATATGAATTTTGATAAGTTAACAAGGGGAGGGATGAGGCTAGAGAGCCCCCCCCCCCCAAAAAAAAAGACACTTACAGTACATTTCTTTACAATGCGATTCAAGCGTTGCAGGCAATAATAAACGAAACAAGATTTTTGTCACGACACAGGACTACACTGCATAACGCGTGTGAAAACCTGTTTGATAAAGACTTTTCATTGGTAGCTAGTTGGCGGTAAGTGGTCTCAGGCTTTTTGGACCCATTTCCGGCACACGGGACAGTCAGATCAGATCTGGTCGAGTCGGGTCATACCGAGTCCAGTCGGCTTGGTTCGGAACGTTTCGGATCGGATCCATGCCGGTCCGAACATTATCATCCCGGCTTAAACATGATTATGTTGATTTTGATTATTAATTGGGATAACAGTGACCGATAAGCCACCATCTTTAGAATCGTGAATAATTGATTTTAAAAAAGTTGAAAAAGTATTTCTCTAGCGTCCCTTCATAATTTCCATTTTTCCGTCAGGATAAAAACTGTCCGACTTCTCTTCGGCATCGTGAAAAATACCAGCACTTGTTCTGGCCCAGGGTTGGTTGATATATTTGAACAGAAACTTCAAGCCTTTCTCATTTTTTGAAAAACTTTTTTCTATCGTTTTGTAGACTCAACGCAATGAGTGAAATCACTTACCTGGAATAACAGCACATATGGCGAGCTGCCCTACTTCATTGAAAATTCTCAACTCTGAAGCTTGGACAGCCTAGAACCCAGGCGCCACCTTCCACACGATTTGATTGATGACGTCAACGAATGGCACCGACAAGCAACCCGTTCCCAGTCCCTGACGTGTGCTTCACGCTCGACCGGAAGGGAACGGCTGGGGAATGGGCTGAAGATTGCATAAAGTTTGACTCCTTGGCTTTTCATACTTTTTCATACTTTTTTCAGGGCTAGAATAGCTGAAAAATTGCCCAGTCTTTATAGATTTTGGACTNAATGGGCTGAAGATTGCATAAAGTTTGACTCCTTGGCTTTTCATACTTTTTCATACTTTTTTCAGGGCTAGAATAGCTGAAAAATTGCCCAGTCTTTATAGATTTTGGACTTGTTAGGAACCGTGCTGATACATGACAAGAAGCACTTTATGACTAACCCCAAGGGAAACAGTGAGTTTTGTTTTCCTGAGACCATCAATGCTCCCTCAGGCGAAGTCAAGAGGAACACTGAGGGTCGAGGGAAAACAAAAATCACTGTTTCCCTTAGGGCCAGTCAGTAAGTGTTTTGTTATATCTTCCAACTCAAAATGGGAAAAACTGCGAAAAAATGTTTTGCTTGACACCGGCTGAAAACACAAATTTGCCGCAGTTTCAAGGTGCACGACCTGATCACTGCGAAAGTTCAATTTGATGTTTCCCCAGGGAATTCGTGAGTTTTGATCCATGACACGTGACACGTTCTGCTCCAATTAGAAGTACTTGAGTTGGGAGCTATAACAACCTTACATAATGCTGTCAAACGCACTTAGACTGAGAAAATGAGAAAGATTGACAAAGAAAATATGGAATGGGAAAGGATGGAGGAGAGGCAGCAATTTACAAATCTGCACGTTGCGGAGAAAAGCTTTGAACGCAAAGGAAAGAATTGGCATGGTGAGTAAGAAAAAAAATCCCAATTCTTTACAGCTAGCAGCAGTCTGAAGGTAATGAGTGAAAATTTCTGGAAGGCACCCAGAGGACTGGATGAGCGTTGTGGGAGTATCAAGACCTAAGACCTACGACCCAGGCCCCAAGACATCAATACCCAAGACCCAACACCTAAGACCTACATGTAGTACTTAAGACCTAAGATCCAAGATCTTAGGTCTTAGGTCTTGTACATGGTGGGCTAAAGTTGC